CCGTCACTCACGTATGATATGTTCTTGAAATTTAATTCGGTGCTATTTTCGGTGCTAGTTAAATTTTCTTTAATATCAACGTCTTCTTGCAAGGTTTTTCCAGTAATTTTTTGATCGTTCGAGTTCCGAGAAACCCTGTAAAGATTTTAGTTATAATTGTGGTTGAATACTTAAGTTTGTAGGCTTCCGCTCTTTTCTATTGATGGTAATTTCTTAATGTTGAAATTTTTTGTGAAATGCAGAACTCTACACACTTTATTCTGTTTCAACGCTGTTTGAACGCGCACCACCACAAGCATCAAACCCATAAACCGGGCGGTCGAGCGCAGAGGCTGTGCGGTTCTCAGGCAGATCTCGGGCCGATAATAGCGAATGGCATCGCTGAGCACAACCTCTCTCGATCCGTGAGAATTTGTTCTGAGCCTCCCAAGCTGATCGGCCATTCATTGAGCTGTAGTGCCGTCACTGTTGTGTGCTCAAAGTTCGTTGATCGCCCGATTTTATAGAAAAAAATTCTGACTCCTCGAGTTTGCGTTAGTGCCCGGCCATTTTTTACGCGTTAAAATAACTCGTGAATATGCCTGCGCGGTGAATTAAAGCTGTCATCATGGTGATAAGCTTCAAAACCCGTGAAACTTATGACGATGATCTCTCTATTTTAATAAATCATTTGAATCGCCTTATTATTCATATATTATTACAAGAATACGGCCGGAACTAAACTTTTAATCATGATTTGTCTGAAAGATTTTCTAGTAAAAGTTGATACAGTAAATTTTTAATAGTATATTTTTGATTATTCCAACAAATTCAAATCCTGATGGTCAAATCTGATCCTATGGGTCGATCAATTTGATCCTATGGGCCGATCAAATTCATGTGTCTACAATTCCGGTTACCAGTTTGCGAATGAAGCATCATCAATTTAATATTTATTTCCGTATATCATTATTAATGAAAACTACCTCTAATTAATGCATTTATGTCTCTTATGCGAGAAAGTGGCCTATTGATAACTTCTCCTTTTCAGATTCCATAATAATTTCTAGCTGCATCTTTAATAACGAATTTGTTATATTTTTGCCGCGTATAGCTACAAATGAAAAGATCAAAAGTCTCCAATTTCATAACCACGTTTGCTAACTTTGATCAATAAATTTTAAGAAGTGCTGTTTCAAAATACCAAAATCTCTATGAATTAATTGCAGGCAGCTAAATATGTAGTATCCACCGCAGGCAACGATAGTCCTCAAAAAAAAAAAAAACGATCGGCAGATATTACGACTAAATGGTGCACTGAACTTCTAATGTTTATTAGAAGTTCAATTTTTATTTATTAAACCTTACATATTCATGTAAGGTTGCTGCAAAGGTTGCAAATGCTTCTGTTGCTGTGCAAATGTATTTTGGGTGTAATTTCTGTTATCATTAATTCAACTGCGGCACAGAAGTGTTTGGTATGGTTGTTCTCGGTGCAGTCATTTTTCACATATTAAGTTTTTAGTTTCAAAGTCAGTGTTCAAAATAATGTACCGGGTTAAATTTTGTTTACAAAGTATTTAGAAAACTAGCACTTTTCTCCAATACTTAAACTATTAGAAATAGGAACAAGTTTTGATTTTAGACTGATTTTCATGTGGCATTTTTCTGCCCGTTTGTGTAGATCAAGCTAAAAATTTACTTGCATTACAACCTCGGTGTTGTTATCGCTAAAATTTAAACTAGAACAAGACCTATTGACCAAAATTGCAGCAAAATTGAATGTTATACGAACACAGCACGTCGCTCCTCCTTAAAAGCTGTCCTCGATAAACACCAAGACAATATCTTACGACAGAATAATGGGAGTAAATTATGGGGTATCTTTGACGTTGTTTGGGGGCATTTTATTCAGCATGCAGCTCCAGCTAACTGGTGCATGCATGGGCGAGAGACAAATTACAGTATTAGTATTTGAGACTTACTTAGTTTGTGTCTCTGTACCTCGTACCGTTTGCTTGACGAACTCAACGTGTGTTTTAAAACGCCAACAGCGATAATTTTGTGCAACATTGACATATATGATCCCTTGTATCATTGATATATAGAACAGACCTGAAAAGCTTCCAAAATTGATATCCGTTAATCATTTTAGTGATCCATGCATCATTTACATAACAGATCGCGAACACCATTCTTATACCTGATCCTGATCACCACTGCCAAACATGATCACCGCTGCCATCATGATCAACGCTGCCAAACATGTTCACCACTGCCAAACCTGATCACATACATCAATCACGACTCCAATTTGACCCTGGAAAATACGCGACCGCATCCTATAGAGGAGGCGATGTTGACAGCTTGCACAACAGAACGTGGCATTGCCTGACACGACATCCGATGTTTGGCTCGATCGTGTCATGTCTAGCCGCATTATTCACTCGAGATTGTGGGCCCGTCGGGAATAGTTGAAGCTTTTCATGAACGGATGAAATGCCGTACGGAAAATTGTAGCAATCGTGCGTATTTCTGAGGTTTATTCCTTTTCGTATAAAGATTAGAATTTCAGTGTACCATACAGTCATAATATCTGAGGATAATTTTTTGAGGACTATTCAATTCTATTTTCGAAAGTATGCGAATTACGCACGTCAGTTCGGTACACAAGTGAACCTATATTTAAGAGCAGCAGCCGGAGAGCCCCGGTGCTTTAGGCCTCTAGTTAGTGTTAGGCGGTCATTCTAATGCAAACAAGTGTGCAGTGTTAGCGCCATGTGTTCGTTTCATCACTGTCCGGTTCCTCGGCTATTCGTGCGCTTTACTCTCGTCAGTGTTGGAGTTCGTACATCTCAATCTCGTCTTCTCAGTGTCAGCCTCTTGGCCAGACAATATGGCTTTGTTGCCTAATGTCTACACGGTCCGAAGCGGCAGTGGTTCTACCTGGCCAAATGTATGAAACTCAAAGAGATTTCCTTACTTGCAGGTTCGTTCACGACGTTGAATTCTTAACAAGGGCTGAGAAATGCTGAGACTTGTCTGATAGTTGCTAGGGGGAATCTGTTGCGGAAGTTGTCAAGGAGTGGACGTTAATCTGTCTTTAAGATAGGGCCTCTCGTATAGTTGGAGAGAATATAGCCTTTCTTAAGAGGTAGTATCGTGTCTGCGTTTGTGGGAAGATTTGGCTGTTATTCGTGATTGTGATTTGTCATGTAAAATTGAGTGAAATTCGGGCTTTTGTTTGGTGGTGAGGCGCAGAAGTAAGCGGAAAATTATATTGATGGAGAAAGATCGAACGTTTCTACAGCTGCATTTTATATAGTGGCTTGTGTAATGCTATTACGTCAGATTGATTTTCGAATCTGGTTCGAGGTGTAACAATCAATTAAGCTACCCATTCTCTTCATAAAAAAACATTTTTTTTTGTTCAACCCAAATCACTTAGTTTAGTTCCAATCTAACTAATCAGTTTCTAAGCAGACGATAGTTCGGATTTATAAATTTTGAGCAGCCTTGCAAGATTTTATCAATTTTATCGGCAGTTTAACGACCGTCTTTAGCAGTAATATCTGTCTGTGATCAGCGGGCTCTGACCAACGAGGGCGTTGTTGCTGGTGAACGGTAACCCGCCTCTGATATTGCATACCTTCAACTGCAAGGTAAAAGTTTTTATTTAGGTTCATTTAGTGATTGCAAAGCCAAAAATATCCATTGCCGCTATGTATCTATAATCATGTGGCAATCCAGAAGAAAGTTTTTGAACACGTGTTGCTTTTAGAGGTACAACTTTCTCGGAATTCAAACAAGAATTGCATTTCGTGCTTGCCAGGAGCGTGGCATTATATATATGTCGTGCCGAAACCGTGGAATTGCCGATTATATGGAATCGGCAGCCCGTTTGCTGAATATACAATCAGCATTTCGTTGTTGATTCACAAAAATCGGACGTTAGAATTGGAGTAGGAACATAAATCGTCAGTTAGAGTTAGAAAAGGTTAGGTAAAGTTTGGTCAACTTCCTTTATATTTAAATATTTGAAAAGAAAGAACTTGGCTGACTGAACTAACCCCAGATTCCTATGGTATAGAAGTGCTGATTCTACAGATTCGGCTAACTGGCTGCCGATTCCAGAGAATAGGCAATTCCGCGATTTCGGCACGATATACCTATTTGAATGTATGCAACTGTCTCATAAAAATAAAAATTGCTTGCGAGTTTGAAAAATTTGCGTGCATGGCGCTTAAATTTTCCACCTTGTAACTGTACTAATGGAAAATCTGTAGGGGGTATTTTGTAGTTGTTTTGGATCCTCATTATAAGAACTGCCAAAATAATCGATTTAATAGACAGATGTGAGATCTCGATGTCAGAGCTTTATTAAAGCAACCCGATCCTCGTCTAATCCATCTCTTTATAACGCTAATTTTATCCGTGTGATTTATGGAGGCTTAGAGATGAGATTTTTTTAGTACGTTATCTCGCCGTTGATCATGAATGCAGACCGTGTTTTGCTGGGTGCTGACGCCTCGGCTTAGATGAGGCCAGAAACATAGACGCGGCGCCGCCCGTGCAGTCGCACTCGATTCTATTAACTAACACCTGGCTTGCTTGCTCTGCATTCAATTCTTTAGAACTGATAATATTTCACGGTGGAGATGGGATAGTGATATTGCTACATGGCTGTAAATCTGGCTTGGTGGTAAACGATTGTTCTGTTGTCGGTATGCTGTACCCTTGCCTAGAATTTTTGGCCTCGAATTAGGTTTGTTTTACCAATTTTTATTAATTTAAGAAAATTTTTGTTATACCATATATTCACACGGCTCACGGAGGCTATATTAATTTTTCTCTGTTTCAGATACTATTGAACTTTATGTTATGTAATGGAACCTTCTGCAAATAATGCATTCAACTCTTACCATACATTAATTTCTCTTTTCTTCTTGTTGCCTATACCTTTGTTCAATAAACATTCCCTGTGATTAAATATAATTAAATCTTTGGCTTGCACTTCACAGGTCTGAAAGCAGAGCTGTACTACGTACGCGAGGGAGTCGTCAACGAGTACGCCATGGGCTGGAATGTGCCCGTACAGGCTGACGTGCACGCACTGCACTTCATTTGGCACGGCACCGACAGCACGCCCGTGAGTGCTGCACTTACTTGCATCCTTATTTCATGTCATAACCAGAATCATATATATCTCATTATTCTTAAGGTTATTTCATGTCACAATCAGCATCTATATATTGCATTATTCATAACGTTATTTCATGTCACAACCAGCATCTATATATTGCATCATTCTTTACGTTATTTCATGTCACAATCTGCATCTATTCATTGTTAAATGTAACAACGAGCATTTATTCATTGTTATTACATGTAGCAACGAGTATCTATGTGCATTGCATTAGTCCTAACATTATTCCCCGTCATAATGGGCATTTATTCAATGCATCACACTCGACAATATTACATGTCATAAGAGGCATGTTCTCATAAATTGCATTACTCTTAACATTATCCCATATTCCAACGAGCATCTATTCACTGCAATTAAAATTTTCCTCTCGAGATCACTTGATTACTGAAGTCTTTGCCTTCGAATACATTTGCCGTCTTCAACGCTATTCGTAGCTAAATCCCGTAAACTGGAGGCCCGCCTATGGGTTAAATCGTTGAATTAGTTGACATTTAATGATTTAATGACTAAAAAATGCCGAGAAGGTTTAGTTCTTACAAGAAAAAGTACCATCATTACTTCAGCAATACACGATCCTGACGCCAAAATTTACAATTAGTGATTGCTATGAAATTTGTTGGGATTTCATGAAATTTTATTTTTTTATAGTTTTTGTATTAAGTAGTTATCTTGTTATTTGATGAATCGAAGAATATCGTCGTAGTAAACTGAATTAAATTTTTTGTTTAATACTGTACTGCATGTTATTTCACGGTAATTTCATCTTTCATTCTTGTTCATCAGAATATTTTTTTGCTATACACCTCATTCATTCATCAATGAATTCAAATATTTATCGAATCTACATTAATAACTGGCAAGTTAACCTTGCGCTGCTCGAAACTGTCAGTATATGCTTAAGATTTGAGAAACCCTTCTTTAAATCATTTCTACTGCCGCCATACAAATTTCCAAACGAGAAAGTACCGGTAATATGTAACGTAAAGAATATTGTAAAATTCTTGGCAATATAATATGAATATTCATGGTAGTAATAAATTCAATAATAGATATTTATTACATTAATATAGCCATCATAGGTTATAAAATAAAATTTTAATCATATTTTCATTTAATTAAGAAATGTTCTTTAAACGCTCTTTTCAAACTTGAAGGAAATGATAATTACTGATTTTTCAAATTATTTGCATTGATTTCTTCATCGTAAAATACGCCATTTTATTATATCAGATCCGTGGTTCCTTTTACCCAAATAAGTAGAGTTGGTAATCAGGCCTTCCTATACCTCCGATGCCTGGATAGGTAGAAGCGAGAAAGGTGGGCGTGGTTCGTTTTCTTCCTTTTCCAATGTTCGCTATTTTGCCTACTGTCTACTCACTTGCATATCTCTACTGCTTATTTATGGCAATATATTGGTTTTCACTGAATTTATACAAAGGTTTCGATATTAGCATTTTTTATTTTTATGGTGCTGATCTATGAAATAACATCATTATTTTTTCTATATATTGTGTGGTAGATTTTGATAAATTCCATTGAAATGGTCAGGGATAATTTGTTACAAATGATAGTTTAGAGCACTGAATAAAAAATGTGTCGACGTGTCATCTTCGATGTTTTACGTTCATGATTAATGCTGTTAAATGCTGAAAATATTTCTTCATGTTGGTGGTCACGCATTAGGTGACGTCATTAACTCATAATTTATGTGTCTTTCTTTCTCGAAGTTGACGGCAAGTATCATTTACCCGACTTTTAATAGTCTCGATATTTCGATAATCATGGCGTTTATCAATTAATTTCTTGTAATTATTACAAGCCTATCAATTTGTAGAGCTATAATGAGAGCACTGCTCTTGAAAATTGAACAACCAGAGCAATTGCAATGCCACTTCCGATTTTCAATAAAGTATTCTTCAAATAATAAAACATGCTACGCTAACATTTTATTAGGTCTTCATCGTAACGTGGCAGAATGCGTTATTCAATAAATAAATGCACCCGGCGCCATCAGTTCGTCGTTATGAGTTGATTTTTACATCAATCGTAAAAAACGTAGTTTTTAATATTCAGATTGACATGCATGTTTTCCACTCTAATTCGTGCATGAATTAACTCTTCGTTATAGGAAATTTGTCATTTTTACTCGCAGTGGGCATCGCAAGTCGGCAGAAACGAGCGCGCCTCTCAAAGTTTTAACTGACGAATGCTTACCCAGGATTTAGTGCCACGTGCCCGTAGTGGAAGATACTGACAAGCTTTGAAGGGGGCGTTTCCCCGTCAACATTTTCATTTAGGTGCAAGATTTATGACCAGGGCAGGATTTTTTAAATGTATTCAATGGGCGGACCGTGGCAGCTCGTCGATGAGGTAATTTTATGAGCCACCATTTGTGCTCCACGAAATGTGAATAATACTGACGGGCGGGATCTAGGTACCTTTTCTTTTAATATCGTTTTTATTAATCAATTCAAGTGCCGCATGCTACTTGTGTTCAGGTCTTATTTTTTTCTCTTGATACTATTGTGTTTAATAGCGTTCTTATTTACATGTTAATTGTATTTCAAATTTAAAAAACTTGACCGAATCTCCAGAACCTTGCACTCATCTCGCACAATGAATGACAAAACACCGCACCAGTCATTCAAGTTTCCTGATCGTCGAAATCTTTTGAAAGATAGATGCATCATCAACGTTGGTTCTTGTCCGGCAATGTTCACCTAAAATTTTATGTTCGATTTCGTGGAATTCGACGACGCCTTCCATTGTGAAGACGTCATTGGTGCCGTACGGTCGTGGCAGTGAACATTATACCCAATTCTATTCGGGTAACTGCGCCTTTAAGGAACAGCGTCCCTAAGCTCCTTCATACACCAACTATCCTACAACATTCATGGACTATGAAAGTAGGTATTTTAGTATTGAATGGAACATGGCTGAAGCATTGGATGTAGAGCTTACTGTAGGTAATTGTAGATGGTGGAGCGACTTCTAATAGTGGTACTTAGTTGTGAAATGAAGGTTGCCTTCAGTGCGCAGCAGTTTGTTGCTAAATTCAGGGATGTATTTAGGGATCACTTAATGCAGAGTAGTTGGTGGCACAATAACACATTGTACCGTGTAAGTCTGACGTTGCGAAGCTATGCGAGTTATCCGTTAATTGTAGTTATTTGTGAAACGATGTTAGTATCCTAAAATAGAAGCTGTAGGTTCCCTTCCAGAGAGTCTTTTTATCCATCAGTTTATTGTCCGATGGAGTCTAATCTCCGAAGTTATTGACTGCATAAATGTATGTTCTGAGACAATCGCCGTGAATGCTTCAGTGAATTGTCTTGCGTGGTCGCCTGATGACCATTTGTTTCTCCAATAAACTCAGGTGGTGCCTACGAATCCACGTTTACGGAGGTGCTTGGTCTAGAGCAGAACTTGTAAATTGACTCGTAAAATCTCTGGAATCCTAGGAACAAACCTTTACGCGTCGCTTTAACGATTTGGAAGATCTTGGAATAGAGAATTTATTGTTGATTTATCAATGGAGATTGTCGTTAAGCCTCGCTCGACACAAATGGGCGTCAGCTGTCGTGGACATTTCATGATGTCTTCGTTCAGGCTGACTTTGTTGGGTACGCCTCCTGAAAAAGATCATTGATAATGTAAAGTAAAATATTTATACTGGAAGTTAATCGAAAGTGTGATATATAACGCTTTTCCAATTATTTCTATTAGTTTATGCGTTGTTTTATTCACCAATGCAGTTTAATACAAGTGACCTTTATTTGAATATCTAGTTCGACAGACAGTAACACAAAACTTTTCACATTGAAGTCCATTAAACTATTGCAACATTCTATTTTTTCTTGCTTTACGTACGATTTTTTTGTCTCTCCATGATATTTCATATTTATTCCAATTAATTATTCTAATCGTGATGTCAATTCTAGATCACGTAAATTTTAGAGCTCAACTCTTTATTTCTGCGTTTTATCTTGCTTCTCCATAAAAAATGCGATGATCTTGATCAAGATATTAGAGTTGAGGCCTGCTGGACTTTATTGTTTTGACTGGACAAGGCTTGTGGGCGTATGCAGGTACCGGGGCTTGTGTTTAGGGAACTTCTCAATTACGGTATATGCGTCCAGCTGTGCTCCATAATTAATGCAAGTCATTCTCAGTGCCTGAAGTGAGGCGTCACTCGCCTTTGGGTGACTTGGATGAATGACGGCAATAGCTTATGTTGCGAAGAAAAATTATACTGAATTTTTGGAAGACTTTTCGAATGTCTGATTATTCTAATATTTATGTAAGAATGCTTACTATAGACTAATTAGTTTAGTTTATTGTGAAGAAAAATAACTAAATCACGTTATAGTTTTTATATATGGTAGCGGCTTCAAAGCAAAGTGTGATATCTCGCAGTATGGCTTTTCACTGCCAGACCGTCTTAACAATCAGTTAGGAATTGAAATATCGAATGAAAGTCGACCAATAACGGTGAGCTAGGGAGAATTGAAAATATTATTCATTCTGCCTTAAAAAAGGTGTAAATGCAACTAATATATTGAATTGGAATGACACAATAAAACGTGCAATAATATGAATCAGGGTCTGTTAATTTTCAACGAGCTTCTTGTAACTTTTTTCATCTCATATTTTCACAGCCTTTTCATTGTTGCCCACTGGGTAATTTCTGAAAACAAATAGAATTTTGCATTCCTAAATTCATGAAATTATGACATGCACACTTTTTTTCGCTCTTCAATACTGATTGATTCCTTACAATAGTGTTGAGAAGCACATCGTCGCCCTTGGCAATTTCGTTCTTACCAATTTACCGTATCCCAGAACTCGAGAACCGAGCAAAATAGGTGGGTTTTACAAAGCCGGTTACAAGACATTAGAGTGCATGACATTTAATAAACTTAGGATCGAAGTTTGGTCGC